CTGTCTATTGGTGTGGAGCGGCACCTGCTGGAAACCAGGTCCAGGATCCCATGAACATCATGAATTAAGCACCAGCCGAGACCCCCCCCCCCACACTCTTGGAAATGAGTACAGTGAATATGACAAAACATAAACGCAGCATAATCACTACCTTAGCCTTCGCCAACCGCATCAACAAACAAATTACAGGCTGCGCACCCGTGCCCTCACGGCAAGTCAACGAGTCCTTCGGGGGACGCTTCAGATGCGGAGTGACACAGATAAAGAAGATTAGCATGACCCCTGTGCAAAGATTACATGTGTCAATCAAAAATTGTAACTTTTTAAAAATGGGGTTTGTGGGGCTTTGCTGACATCTCCGTATATCCAGAGGTGCATGTGGAATGCTGCAGAGTCTGCTGACATTTAAACCACCAGTACTTCCTAAAGTTGTGCCTGTTAACGCTACGCGATTTAAGGAAACGTACGGGCCACTACAGGAGCGCCCAAATTCATCCAACTAGAAACGTTTCTACTCTATTTTTTTCTGTGGCCGATAGCTGCGCCAAGTACTGGTGGTTTAAGGGGTGAAGAACTGGGTTCTGTTTGCGGGGCCGGGGGATTTAAGGAGGGGAGATTGAAGGAGATCTGCCGATTGCCCAACCCTCGAAAGTTAGTTGAAAAAAGGCGACACAAGGTAGTAATATCCCCTTGGTCATCTGTTGTGTGAGATATGCTGTGGGGGTCAACCTCGCATGAGCAGAGTCATCTGATTCTCCCTGAGAGTCGAGTGGCAGCGGACAGATACCAAAAGAGCCATCTGACGTTAGGTCACCGATTTCGACTTTTGGTGAGTTCAGGGGATAGGTTAAAGTGAAACCAAAAGCTTGTGTGCCGAAAAAGCATGTCATGGCAGCACTGAGATGTTCAGTATCGACTCTTGAACCACCGGTACCTTTCCCAGCTATCAATACCGACCCTCAAAACAGCCTGCAAGCCCAAACAAAATGAACCGCGGGCCTTCTTTTGGCTGGCGCCACCAGCCGTCTTGGTCTGGAACCCGGAACCCCGCAAGTTGTGGCCGTTACCGTGTATCTGTTTCTCAAGCGGGGAAAAGATAACTGGTGGTGTGAACCACCACTGCCGCCGGCATCAAAAAAATCTTGAAAGAATGCATTGTGCGCTTGGTGCACAGGTTAAGGCAAGGGTTGAAGTCCATCGGAGGCAGGGAACTTAACCTTGTGCGGGACACTGGGTCCGTTGGTTGAGAGACGCGCATGTTTTGCAGAATAGTAGCCAGCTAGCTACACTGGCCCGCCTTCCGCGAGGAGCCAACATACGACCACTTCTGGAAGTTGTGGCGCACATGCGGTCAGCCATCGCTACAGGGCGGTGATGTTTGCACTTGAATGAATTTATGCCCGCACCCCAGGCCTGCCCGTTCATCCTAGCACGTCGCGGCGTGCAGTTGGCCGCGACTTTCAGAAGTACTGGTGGTTTGAAAATCAATGGATGGCACACAAGAAAGTTTCTTTTCTTGTTTTTTAAATTCACGTCTACCTCTGGGCCTGTTTTTCCGGAAGCGGATTTGCATTGCGAGCAAACGAAAAACAGGACCGCCAGTGGCA